TTATCACTTTTGTACCCTGTTTTATCCCATTCAAACTCTACATTATGAAGCAAGATGACCATAATATGTGATTTTTAGCTTGTATATATCAGTTTGTGGTGCATCGAAAACTGTATTTTTTACACAAATAGTACAAACTAGAGCACATTTCACGGAATCTAGATGACTATGTTGAATTTGGCACCATAAAGGTAAGAAAAAATCATAGTTGAGGGGGGTAGATGTAATTATCCAAACAAGAGGGGGGGTTTTGTAATTTAACCATACCTCAGGGGGGTGTTTGTAATTTACCCTTTTAAAATTTTAAAGTTTAAACTTAGAAGTGAAACTCTAAAAAGTAAAAATTAAAAATTATGTTACATACGTATACTTTAATAACAAAATAATTCAAAGCCACGTAGTTCTTATACACTTACCTTGCTTACCTTATGCTTCTGCGTCGATATGATTGGTATCTCGAAATTCGCCATTGTAGTCCAATTGTTTTTCTCCTTGTACACAATATCTCGCTATTGTCCAATCATGCAACCGTACTTGAGATCCCAAATTATCCGGACGTAGCGATAATCTCTTTGTATCTAGCTATGATATTGCCACCCGTATTAAAATCTTGTTCGACCGCAACGGTACTAACCAGACTATTTAGATTCAAATTTTCGACAAAGTTGGGAATTTGCTAGTTAGGATCTACAATTTTTGTGTCTTGCAACTTTTGAGATTCAAATTTTGTATCATGCTCCAAAATCAATCTAAAATATTTAAAATAAAATAGGATATTCTCTTAATTATTATTTTAACTCCCAACAAGATTCTCTTGTTGTTTAAATAATATATTACATTTATATTTCATATGTTCTTTTTTAAATAATGTAATATATTAATATTTTTCCAAGCTCTAAGAATGTGACGTAGACACGTGTCAAACTCTGCTCACTTGGGGTTGACTTTCCGATGGTAAACTAATGTTTTGAGTATTTTAGTGTTTGTGATTCGATCTTGATCCATTAAATAATTGATACGTATAATACTAGGAGTGAATCGTGTATGCATGTTTTAAGTTGTTGAGAGTTTATTATAGGGTTCAAATTTAGATTGATCGTCTGTTTTAATAGGAAAATCGGATGTCATAAGATAAGATAATTGATACGTGGATAGTTTAAATAAAAATATAATTATGATTCTAATAATTGGAAAAAAAAAAAAAAAAGGAAAAATAAAACCCCAGCAGAACTCATAACCCCTATATCCCTAATTATAATTAGCATAATTTATTAAGAGTTAAAACTTAAGAGTGTCACATGTCAAAAAATTAGTGGAATCCGATTTATATTAAATATCGGCTGATCCGCTCGTAATTTAATCTCTTTATTATATTAACCTCAAGTGAATGAGTGAATGATAATGTAATCTTTTTTTTCTCTCTAATGTTTTGTTAATTCCCAACTCCCAAGTAGATTTTTTTTTTTTGTTAATTTTTTTAATTAAGGAATTTGCATCAAATTATATAGATGCACTGCGTAAATTTATATTTTTCAGCAATCAATGGCAGAGTGAGGATTTGAGATGAGAGTGGGCTATAAAATTACGGGGGTTTCGAGGTAGTGCCTCTTAATTATTTTTCTCGTAAAAGTATAACATAAAATAAATAAGTAGTATACTTAATGAACATAATATAAATTAAAACTGACAATATCTAAATATGATTGTTACATATATTTATATTGCATCAAAATTAAATTAGGTGGGCTAACTTAACTAAAATAATTAAAACAATAATGCATTGAGTAAGGGTGGCATTCAGCCCACCCTATGTTGCACATAGTTCCGCCGTTACCTACAATAACTCATATATAAGAAAAGTAAATTTACTAGACTAATCGTATGTGACAAGTTCGACATAAAAAATACCAGAAATGAAATTTGAATGTGCGTTAAATTAGACCACGCTCTCGTGCTCTAACGTGACGCAAATAAATTAAATAAATGCTCATTTTCTCATAGTTGCGGGGACAAACCACCAAGAAATTATTGAATTCATGATTAATATTATTAGGTATTAGTGGACCTCATAAAATTCCACTCAAAAGAAGTTGAAAATTGTAGATATAATTCTATTTAAGATAAATATATCAAAATTGTGACTTGTTTTATTTATTTAGTAAAAAAAGATTAGGCCAAAAATAATTATAATTAAATAAATCCTTAAAGAGTGAGCCACGTAATAAAAACGTGGAGTGGTTAATGCAGCAACTTACAATTTGTGGACAATACGTGCTGAAAACATAATAGAGTTTTAATTTTTAAATAAATGAAATAATAATTATGATCTATTATTTGATTAGCAACCTAATTATAATATAATTATTTCAAGACTAAAAAAGAATCTACAATGTGTATGTATGTAGAGCATTGATAAACTGAAGAAGAGAAAAAATTCTGCTCCTCTGACCTCTGACTTTGGCATCAAATTGAATAAATGCACTATTCTCCCACTATCTTATTATCATCCTTCCATATGTACATACTCTCTCTCCGTTAATTTCTCTCTCTCTCTCTCTCTAGAAATACAAAAAACTGTAATGGGATTACATACAAAATATAATCCACATCTTTTTTTTTTTTTTTTTTTTCCAGTGTGAATGAATATAATGAATCTCTCTGATCACAGTAATCTTGATAAGTAATTACAAAAATCCCACCATTATTATATCATTTCTTTCATTACAGCCAACATTTAATTATCTCCCCTCTCTCGTACGTATAACTGATCTCTCTCTCTCTCTCTCTCTCTCTCTCTCTCTCTCTCTCAGTGTGTGTAGTATAGAGTAATATATTACAAAAACAAGGTCCGTTTTCTTTTCTTCATATGTACTTATTACACAGATGCTTATGCATATATGGTTGATGGTTCGCCGGACCGGCGAATCATCGTCCGCCGCCAACCGTACACGGTTCTCTGTACTCATGAACTTAATTTATATGTATTTTCTTTTTTTTGTTTTTTTGGTAATTTTGTCTAGTAAATCAAATTGGCTGTTTTTTTAATTGTATTATTGGTGAATTCTTTATGTATTGAAAACTTCGTCCATGTGAACTCATAAAGACAGATTTCGACTATCTGTTTTCGATTTTATTGATGCAGCTGTCCTGATAATACTTTACTATGAACATTTTTTTATTTTTTTGTTACATATATTTAATTTGCATAATTGGGATTTTTTATTACCTTAATTCTTGTCCTTATTTTTATCGATCGAGATAATTCTAACTGTTTTTTTTTTTCTTTTCATGTTCAGTTGTATTTTTCGAATCGTGAAGACGACTCATGCACATTGAAGTCCGATCGAAGACAAGCCGATAAACGTTGTCCGAAACCACTCTGCGATTTAACTTAGTACTTAATTTTTGTTATGAGCAATTAGTGGAATTGATGATTTCAAGATTTATGCAAATATAATGGGGCAATTAAACATGGAGAGAAAATGGGTGTTCCCACTCGTAATGACTTCGTTGATCTGCGTTTTCCTTCTCGGAGCCACTTTCAACGTTGGCCTCGTTTCCCATCTCAACCCCGTCAATTCCATCTTCTCTCTCTTCCAATCCCGTCTCTCCACGGAGCAAACCTTCGCGGAGACCAACGTTGACTGGGGGTCCCCGCCCCCTCCATCGGTTCCGAAATTCGCGTACATGATATCCGGATCGAAGGGCGATTTGGACAAACTTTGGAGGACTCTTCACGCGTTGTACCACCCGTGGAACTACTACGTAATTCACCTCGATCTCGAGTCCCCCGCGTGGGAGAGATTGGAGCTCGCGTCTCGTGTCGAAAATCATCCGACTTTCGCGAAGATCGGGAACGTTTATATGAATGTGAAGGCGAATATGGTTACGTATAAAGGGCCAACTATGGTTGCTAATACTCTTCATGCATGTGCTATTCTTCTAAGGAGGTATCAAGATTGGGATTGGTTTATCAATCTTAGTGCCTCGGATTACCCTTTGGTCACTCAAGATGGTGAGTTTATTATTATTATTTTTTATTTTATTTTTTTATTTGGTTTCTTAAAACATGTTCTTCTTGTAGATCTTCTATCGACATTTTCGGATGTGGATCGAGAGATTAATTTCGTGGAATACACGAGCCGTTTAGGGTGGAAAGAGTAAGTTTTCTTGATGCATTTATTCAAAGTAGTGATCAATTTGATCATGTTAAGACAAAGGCAAGAAATGCTTAGGGCGTGTTTGGTTTTTCTTTCTCTTTTTTTGTTTTGTTGTAGGGCTCGAAGGGCGATGCCGTTGATTGTAGATCCCGGGCTTTACCAGAGTAACAAGTCCGAAATATTATGGGTCACACCGAATAGAAAATTACCAACGTCATTCAAATTGTTTACCGGTTAGTCAATTAGTACAATATGCATTTGATAAATCTTGCTTGGCTGGTAACATCTTGGTTAGTCTAACAACTTTTCAGGCCAGCCAGTAATTGGTTGTCTGATCTTATTTTGACTAATCTTATCTTAGGAACCAAACAACGCGTCAGTAATCTAATTCCATTATTGTCCGATTCAATTTTTTTTGCTATTTCCAGGTTCGGCTTGGACGATCTTATCGCGTGCATTTGTGGAGTACTGCATATGGGGTTACGACAATCTCCCAAGAACCCTTCTCATGTACTACTCGAACTTCGTCTCTTCGCCAGAAGGCTATTTCCAGACCGTTATATGCAACTCTCCCGATTTTGCCCCTACAGTAGTCAACCACGACATGCACTACATCTCATGGGACTACCCTCCGAAACAGCATCCGCACACACTCACCGTCAACGACACCACGAAAATGGTCTCCAGCGGTGCCCCATTTGCGCGCAAATTCAAAAAAGACGATCTTGCCCTTGACAAAATTGATAGGGAATTACTCGGGAGAAAAAACGGGAGCTTCACCCCCGGTGGTTGGTGTGCTGGCGGGCGCCGTTGCTCCGAGGTTGGAAATCCTACCAAACTCAGACCAGGCCCCGGTGCAGTTAGGCTTCGGCGTCTTGTCAATGAACTTGTCCGGACTGCCAAATTTGGCCGGAAAAAACAGTGTACTTAGCGATTTTTTTTTTTTTTTTTTTGAAATAATTATTACATCATATTATAAGTAAAAACAGGACAGCATTAGGCAAAGATACTGCATTACTTGCCTTTAGCTTATATATATACAGAAGTTAAAAATTTGATGTACTAATTAGTCCAATTTCATGAACATATATACTTTGTGATTGTACAGTAATATATATACATGGTGTAACAAAAATTGGTGACTTACATCTGACCTCAGACACTATTCGGTCAAGGCTCGAAATTTACAAGAATGCCCATGGATTCTCCGGCCTTTTCCATCGTGTTGCCCCTTTTGTTGATAAACTGTTGCTCGACGGAGTGTTGCAGCGCGCGCTCAATCGAACCAGACTTTGTTAAACATCGTCTACGATAAAAAAGGGAGAAGGCAATAGAAATGGGACTTTGACCTTGATTTAACGGTGTCAAGGTCAAAAGTCCAAAAACAAATGTCTTTTAATAATGAAGAAAATTGGAGTCAATTGCACAAGTGCGTCGAGCAAATTTTTATTCTCGTGTACTAGTTTGTGAATTATAATTGATTCTTACCTTCTGGCTTCTGAGGTTTCAAATTCCCTTCTTTTATAAGAATTTGCGGATTTCAAATAGTTCTCCGTTCCAATTTTAAGTATCGTATCACATTGTAATCGGAAAATCATGCATATTATATTATATTTACTGACTGAGTTTACTCATGCTCTTGTTCCTTATTCACACTCGCCTCTCTCTTCCTTTCGCCACACTCTTTTAGTATGCACCTAACTCCTTCATTAGTTTTATACTTAGATACTTCTTTACACTCAATATTTATGATTTGAACTTTTGAAGTATTGCACACTCAAAAGTAACAAATATGTATGTATGAATCATGAAAAATATATTTAAAGTGGCTAAAAATATTATTCTAATTAATTTTTTTATCACCTAATTAATTAATGGCAATAATAAAGGCACAATCTGAAATAAAGTAAAATTAATGTATCAATAGAATTTTAAATAAATAATAAGGGAAATTCTCTTTTTTTTTTTTTTTTTTTCTTCTTTTGGTTCGAGAAATGTAGAGTAATATTTTATGATTTATGACACAACTAGTTGACATCGTGTCGGCAACAACCATAATATCCAAACGAGTGTTAAAATGTTACTATTGAATACGATAATGTTCACCCATGACTTCATGGCCCATGGCCCCATTTTTTGATGAAGTATCTTTTTTACATTTAAGATAATTAATAAATTCATTTCTATAGTTTAATTAATTATCACCTTTCCTTGTAGACATCCCTAATTAAAATAAACAAAACATTACGAGGATATATAAATTACAACTTTAAATACTTTTTTTTTTTCGTATCTTGTTAAAAATCGCTTGGCATCTAATTAGAAAGTTTAGTTATAAAAAAATAATCAGTTTAGACTAAAAATAAATTATTATCTTTCAATTTATCCGCCCTTAAAATCACATCCACTCTAACACAACAACATTTCTTCCACTCTTTCGCCTCTCCACGTCAGTCCCATACCGCCAACTGCTTAATTTCCACTGCGACATCATTGAAAAAAGGTCATTTACATCTAAAATGTCAATTTTCAGTTTATACTCTCCAACTAAAATATATATTTTTTAGTCTAAACTCTCCAACTAAGTCGTCTCTATTTTCAATTTTATATTAAGTTTAAGTTGTCCAGCTAAACTCACCGAGTGACTTTTAACAAATTCAAATATCCCAGCAGATCCCAAAATAAAAATCAAACCCTTGCTATTCAAGGTCTTATATGAAAAAAAAAAAGGAATAATTAATCCCACTAACTATATCCGGTTATCCAGCTAGATTTTAATCATCTAAAATTTTGGAACTTCCAAAGTCCAATTTTTTAATTCCAATTTGTTTTCTCCTACAACTGCTTCCAAGAGTAATTAGAAAAAAAAAATTTAAATATATTAACTAATCAAAATTATGACTAATCAGCTGTTAAGAAAAGTATACTCCGTTGAAAGAATTAACGGCAAACAAAATCAGCTCTCTCAACCCTCGTCTCCTCATATTCTCTGCAACTTTTCATACCTCTTTCACTAAACTTCTTTGCCGACTTCACCCCCAACCCCTTCATATCTTCTTATTGCTGACATACATGAATTTGATCTCAGAAACATCTCTAAAAATCTATACTAGATATTCACTTTATTTCGGATCCGTAGAATTGGGTCTATAAAATGGAATTGGTGATATAACTATAATCAAAATTGAACTGATCAGTCACAATGTCAAACATCATCATTCTAACCATACGAATTTATAATTTCATAAGTATAAAAATTTCCCATTTTGCAGTTTGGATCTTCAGTTACCAAAAAATAGAGTATTAAAGTTCGTCAAGGATTTAAAATGACAGTATAAGCAAATTCGAACAAAATTTGATTCTCTCTTATAAGATAAAAACGAAATCGGGTCAGAATTACACAAGATTCGGTTCCAGAAACACTAATATTACCGGCTTCTTCGGCTCTGTGAGCATCAAAATCAAGAGTACGAGATCGATTTCCGTGCTGTTGGAGAACATCCTCCACA